CCCCCAAAATAATAATAATGACACCACCCACTGGTTTGTAAGCTGTTACAATGCACTCAGACTCAGATAGTACTCGTAACTTTATTAGAAGCAGGCTATGGTCATATGGTGAAGTACTAAATGTGACTGTATGTTGACAGAAAGGCTTCATGAAAAGCAGTAGCATCATAATGTTGATCATAATGCTGATAAAAGTGCTGTCCGGTCACTTCCTTACAGCTTTATTTCACTTACCTGCTTCTTCTGCGTTCTGTTTTGCCTGCTGTGCTTTTGACTGAAGCTGGAAGGTGAAAAATAAAGGTCCAATGAGAACAAAAGATGGTTTATCTTTTCCAAATATAATAGGCAGGGATCAAGAGACACAATAAATCAAAACCTGAGTAAAAAAACAAACATTATTTACTGTATAAAAAATTGCTTCATAGGCTGGATTAAACAGGGACATCGAGCAACAAACACAAAGTGGGCCATTTATGTAAAATAGAGAAAAAATAAGTTAATGATTACTTAAGTTTTCTTGGAATTAAAAAACCCTGATATGATCAAATTATAAAATTTTAAATGTGTTTATTGATCTTTAAACTGATTGATAAACTTTCTGTCTGTGCAACAACCAAACAGTTGTCTGTTGTTGCGGGAAGCAGTTTTGTTTGTTGGCTCCTCAGATCGAAGAAGTCCTTTGGATGAAGGACGAAGCGTCTCAGCTTAAAAAAGAAACCGTCCACATGACCTGACTGAACATTGTTGGATTTGATATCTGGACTATTGAGCATGAACTTTGGTGTTTCTGTCTGTGCTTATCTTTTAAAAAATCTTTAAGATGTGCAGAGGTGTGTTCTTGTTCGCACCTTCTCCCCCTGCTTGGTGTTGCTAAGGTTGGTGTTTCGGTTCAGGTTCTGATCCGCTTCTTCTTTGTCTCGACACTTCTGATCGTACGTCTTCTTGGACTGAGGACAAAAACCAGCAAAGTAAGGAATCATCCTTATTGAACTGTTTGTTAGAACAAAAAAATGAAAAATCACAGGAAAAGTGTTTATACATCGAAGGACCTGCTGTCCTTGGTTCTCTTTATTCCACCACTGAAATATTTCACATGGTGGAATTTACTTCTCAGACTGGACAAAACCAGTTCCTCCACCAAAGAGGAAGAACAGAGAGGGAATGAGACTGAAACTCTATCAGGATGACTCAAATGAATAAGCAAACGCATTACTTAAATTACACGAAACAGAATCGTCTGTGCCTTAATGTTAACAAAAAGAGAGTGTTTTGGTAAATCAGTTGTTACAACTGTGTCTGTGAAGTTTGTTCATTTTACCCTCAACACAAAATAAATAAATCTTTTTAGTTTTAAATATACCGTATTTTTCAGACTATAAGACGCACTTAAAACCTTTTAATTTTCTCAAAAATCGACAGTGAGTCTTATAATCCAGTGCACCTTATGTATTAATTCTGGTTGTGCTTATTGACCTCGAACCAATTTTATGTGATTATTGTGAATGAGTTGAATAAAGTTTGACTTATCTGACTGTTTTGTTTCTCTTAATGCGCCTTATAGTCTGGAAAAATACCGTACAGCTGAGCTTCAAGCATAAAGCATTTCTTTCTCTACTTACATCCATTGTCTTCTTGAATTGTGAGGACTTCTGTTTGTGGAGAGTGTCCATTTGTTGTTCTATCTAAAAAAAAAGTTCACATTTAGCATCAAACAAACACTTTACCAGTATATATCATTTCATGTGTCACAGTATAGATGAAAGTACTGACCCTTTTCCTCACTTCTTTCTGCTTTTCTTTGAATTCTTCCAGCTTCTTGGCCTCCTCCCTCATGCTCTGCGCCAGCTGCAAGTGTGAAAGACTGACTTGTTCAGTTTCTGCAAAAAGAAGAACTTATCAATATGCTGGAGCCCACGAGTCAATATGCTAATATTCTAAATACTTACGTAATTTAAACACATCCAGGGATCTCTTTAAAGTGCTAAAACAACAATAAAAAGTCATTTAGATTTTATTTTTATACAAAAAAGTGCATAAATGTAATGCTTTTTTAGCCGCACAAAGGTCGAAGCTGCTCAGAAAACTTGCCAGACAAATAACTTGTCAATAAAGTCAGTCAGGCGTCTCAAACCCTTCTCAGTTTAGTTTTCAGAATTCTGAAGAGTTTTATTTTTTTTGTCAATAATTTTGTCGCGTGAAATTGAAAGAATTTGAACGGAAACTGAGAACCATTGCAGACGAGGCAGGACTTCTACCTGCGTTAATGCTGTTCACTAGTTGCCAGTATTGCAGCCTGGGAGACAAACCAGGGAGCACAAGTCAGTGTATCTCTTGTGCTGGTCCCAAGCCCAGGTAAATGGAGAGGGTTGTGTCAGGAAGGGCATCCGACGTAAAACACTTTTGCCAAAACTATAATGCGAGTTCATCTAAGCGACACCATACTGGATCAGTCGAGGCCCGGGTTAACAATGACCACCACCGGTGCTGTTGACAAACAGGGTGCTGATGGAAAATTGTGCTACTGTTAGTCAAAGACCATGAGGAGGGAAACGTGTCAGGAGAAGAGGAAAGTCAAGAATGTAGGACTGAGGGTTGCAACTCTAAATGTGGGGACAATGACAGGCAAAGATAGACAGCTGGCTGGCATGATGCAGAGAAGGAAGGTAGATGTTTTATGTGTCCAAGAGACCAAGTGGAAGGGCAGCAAGGCTCGCAGCATTGGAGCAGGGTTCAAACTGTTTTACCATGGTGTAGATAGAAAGAGAAATGGAGTAGGAGGAGTTGGCAAAGAATGTAGTAGAGGTGAAAAGAGTGTCAGATAGGGTGAAGTGTCTGAAGGTAGAAGTAGAAGGTCAGATACTAAATGTTGTCAGTGGTTATGCTCCATAGGTTGGATGTGATGGGGTGAAGAAAGAAAAACTTTGGAAGAATCTGGATAGAGAGTATTCTCAGGGAGGAGAGGTGGTGATTAATCCTCTGTACACAATTTTGATTAAAAAAATAAAATAACCAGACAAGTTGGTCCTTAACTTAAAGTACTCATTCCCAACAAATACTAGCTGCTGATGTCTGTCCTTTCAGTTATTTTCAAGGCTCTCGAGTTCCTCTTTCAGGAATCAGTAGTGCATTTACTTAAACTATAAATGTACTTTTTGATAATAACAAATGACAATAAAGGGAACCAAAAATAAGAACGATTTAAATGATAACTTTGCCAGTAAGATGACTGAGTCATTCTCACCCATCGACCTTCCTTCCTCTTCACACTCACATCCATGCACACAAAAACAAAACTAGGCTCATTTAACCACTGACCAAATGGGAACTTAATATGCCGGTAGAGGAACAACACGTGAAAAAATAACAAACTAAAATGTCTCTAAGAAACTGAAAATAATCACCATTTCCACTTTTACATTGTCAACCAAAGAGTTATGTTTGCTGAGTTTATCTGCGTTGCAGTCTTAATCCAGACTTAAATAAGTGCTACTTCAGCTTCGCACCTCCACCCCCCACCAAAATAAAAATAAAAAAACATTTTTAACACAAGCTTCAGAGCAATCAGAGTTGCTAAAAGACAATGTCAGCATGTCGACTCAGACGGTGCTTACTTCATCTCGTTGTGTCCACAAACCTTCTTGGACAAACTGAGCAGATCTTTGGCATACTTCTCTTCAATTGAAGCCCTGAAAGAAATTATTAGAGCACAATAAATAAACAAAAAAAAAATCAATAAAATAACCACTAACTTACAAACTACCTAACTAACTGACTAAATGTTGGAGTCAGCCTCCCCACCATCACAGACATCTACACCTCCCGATGCAGGAAGAGGGCCACCTGCATCATGAAGGACCCCACTCACCCAGCACACATGCTTTTAACCCCGCTCCCTTCAGGCAGGAAGCTGAGGAGCATTAAGTGAGGAACCACTAGACTGAGGAACAGCTTCTACCCTGAAACTGTTAGACTCATGAATCTCTAACTAGAATAATCACTGTGACAAATCACATCATGATGCTGAGCTGTTTCATGTTGCTGTGTTCATTCGTGCTCATCTGCTCACACAGACTCATGTTCGTGCTGCTGTTCGGCGTATTGTTTTTATACTACTAGTGCTTAATGTATTTTTAGTTTAACATTTTTAGTTCATATCTTAGATCTTATAACTATTTTTCTTTTACATTTCACACCTTTGTTGGATGTAACTGGGACCCTGTGTACACAATTTCGTTCCACCACATGCACCACATGAGGTGTGTTGAATCCTTGTCGGTTCATTTACAAGGAAATAGTAAATGTTGAGCATTTATTCACAGCTCGGTCGTATCTATTGTTGAATGGAAATTTTGTAGAGGTGGATATTTTTAATTCAAATATCAAAATGTCGATAAGAAAAAAAAACATTTGCATCGGCTAACATGCTAATTTGCAATGGAACACGCGTGTCTGATTAGCATAAACAATTTCAAAGCAGCAAAAGGCCCAGCACGCCATGAAGAAATGCATTTTGCCCACTGCCTTTCATGTCAAGTAAATATTGAGCTTATCTTAAAATAAAAAATTATGACATTACTGTATAGCCATTTTTGACAACTTTAGAAAACGTGACACACATTGTGAGACCCTGTTCAACCTGTTAGTTAATTCTTGATCTGCGTGTTGGAGATGACTCTCAGCTACTACCACGCCAAATTTTCCCTCGGCATCTGTAAGCTGGACTGAACTGTGTCCATCTGTGTGTTTTTTAGGATTAGTTAGCTGTGGAAGTCATCATAAAAAGAATAAACTCTAAAAGCTAGTCAGCTGTAGATGTGCATCCAGCACCCAATTTCTGAGAGTTTCATTGCAAGTTGCCCAGTGGTTCATAACATATTTTGCTAACAGACATGCAGGATTGAGTCCAACATTCAATCCCACAGTTTTAAACCAACAACTTGCGTGATCTGTTATTGCTCTTTGGGGGTGACTCTCAGCTACCACCAAATAAAACTTTAGCTCAATATCTGTAAAATTGACTGAGTCATAAACATTTTTGTGCTGGATAATATCTATAAGCTGTGGTGGCCATCTTTAATTGGATTGCCTTCGAAAGGTAATCAGTTGCAGATGTACATCCAGCGATTGCTTTCTGCGCATTTCAAAAAGATCTGTCCACTGTTTTATGAGATATTTTGCTAACAGACACAATAAATAAAAACGCTCACAAACAAACAGGCATTTACCTGCAACAAATCAAATAAAAACAACACTAGATTATTCAACCAGGAGATATCTACATGAAGTAACTTGCACGTGTTATCAGTTTGCTGAGTCTGACTAATCAAGAACTGTACACAGGAAGTACAGGGACTCTAACAGTGTGTGTTTTACACACACTTACTTTATTTAAAGTACAAATACATGCTTTTTTATCCCTCTGTTAATCATTGATCACTACAATAACAGTGGTGTCCATGAGTCTTACTTCTTGTGTTTTTCAAACCACCATGCGATACAAAATGCTTCATATTCTTATTTTAGGGATCCTTCAGTTCTGGTGTTTCGTAACATTCTCCTATGTTTTATTTCTCTGTGTGCGCTGACACAAATACCTGCCTCTCTGCTGAAGCATAAAACATAACTCCACCTTTTATGACTTCCAGCCATCTTGAAATATGTTGGCTATAAAAGTTAATCAGTCGTCAAATGGTTACTTTCTGATAGTTGCACTAAAATCCCTTCAGAGGTTCATGAGATTTTTTTGCTAACAGACAAACTAACACACGCACAAGTGGCAGCTTTGTCTGCAGACGACTAAAAACTTTCAATTTATTTTAAACTAATAAACGTCTTCTCTCGCCACAGTGAGAAATCAAAGTCTGTAGTTCACCTTCCTCCTCCTTTGTGAAGTTTCATTTTCCCCCTTCCCTTTTTCTCTCCCCAGACTCAAGTCTTCATGTTCACTGAGCCACACATCCTGCTCTCAACACCTGGCACATCTGGACACCTTGTCAGATGTGACCTCAGCTCATTACCTGGCCTTCATGAAGTCCTCCACCTCCTTGCATGTCCTTTTGCCGTCGTTGAGATACAGAATGATGGCATCATAGCCAGCAGTGGAGGTCAGATCTGAGCTCTGCAGGAAAAGATGAAAAATATATGAATTATTTCTGATTTTCGGCTGTTTGTTTTATTATTATTAGCAAGTGTTACATAAAAAATAATAAAAAAACACCTTAATGTCTCTCTGTAACATAAAATGGCTCTGATAATTTCAGCTTTACATCCAAAGAGTTTGCAGCCTGTAACATATTCTTTATTTTCCAAGTAAAACACTAAAATAAAGACTGACCTGAACTTTTGTTTGTGAAAATTATTCTGCAGCTTGTTTCACTTAAAAATTAAACTCTATGAACAAATCACTCACCCAGAAGGAATCTTTGAAATGAAGGTTTTTCATGACTGAGTCGGAGCAGGTGGCAGAGCAGCAACTTCTTTTTTTGCTTTCGATCAACTCACTGAGGATCTGTGAGTCGCAAGAGACCGGTTAAAGTGACGCATGCGCAGTGGTGACCGCGAACTGAGCGTCAGATGTTGATTTTGAGTTTGCTGCCCCCTGGTGGCCCATAGTGGCACTCACTGGGTCTGTAGGAGTCCTGACTGGTGAACTCAGTCTGATTACTTAACATACATTACCTCTACGGAAAAACTTAATTTAAATAATCATAACTTATAAAAACAATAATTCTTCTTAAGAAATTTAACTTTATTTCATAAACAGACCCATTTGTTATCTTTTTAACTTTATTTTTATTTTTTTTGTAACAGATCTTTTATTATATGAATTTGAATGTATTTTTGCACATTTGTTAAGAAAATAGTGGTGTTTGTATAGATAAAAAGGTACACATTCTTTTATTTTACTCATTTATATATACATTTATTTAACTCTTTTTTTTTAACCTTATTAATTTACTTTGTAGATTGTAAGACCTTTACGCCAATAAAAAAAATACTGTAAATACTATACATCTTTAAACACTACAGATACTATTCCTTTGTAAGTTAGGAACATGAAAATACAGCTAGCTTTCGTTTACAACAATTGAAATCTTCCTGGTTTTGTTCTTTTCTTTATAAAATATTTACATAGTGTGTGGCACTAAACTTAAAAATAGTTCAACAAAACAAACAAAAATAAAATATTAGTACGTTGTTTTTTCTCCCTTCCTGATGCAACCACTGAACTACCACAGCCTACATGTGTGGAGCAGAGGGCTGTCTTCTAGGCTGCCTATGAAAGCAGGTCTGTGGGGTTAAGGACCTTGCTCAAGAGCCCAGAGTAAAGTAAGTAAGTAAGCCCACCATGTGCTCCCTAAAATAGGTCTCTCTTGAAAATGAGTTCTCGTGGCTCAATGAGACTACTTGTATAAATAAAGGCTAAATGAAAAAAAAAAAGAGAGACTTGGCTGGACGCTGGTGAGTTATCGCATCTTTTCATAACTTTTGCCTTTGGCTTGCTCTGTTTTTAATCCTCCAAGGACATCTGGTAGATGTGGAAAAATATTAACTACTTTTAAGAAACATTTGAAATGCAGACAGCTTCCAGCACCTGCTCTTTTTTCCAGCTTTGAATTTCCTCTTTTTGAGCTGGGTCCAGCTGGTGCTGTGCGCTGTGATCTAAAGACGACCAACGTCCAACAAGGTTTTTATGAATAAACTCCTGAATGTTTTAACTGGAATGTTGCTGAAAAACAACCTGGTTTTAATTGTTGGGGATTTAAATGTCCATGTGTGTTGCTATGTCATCTTACAGTTGATCTGTTTGTAATTTGGGTTTCCTGAGCTGTCCCTTAGTTATGCTGCTATAGGCTTAGACTGCTGGAGGACAAACTGGCCACACTTTTCACTCTGCTACTGTCTTTACTTACTCTGCTCAACATTTGAAATTATTTTTTCTATCCTTAACATGTAGGGTTTTTTTTTTTGTCTTTCAGGTACACCTGGACCTACCATTCTGTGTTCGTTTGTCTCTCCTTCCTGTCCTCTCAACCAGCCGGTCAAATCAAATGGTCACTCGTCCTGAGCCTGGTTCTGCTGGAGGTTTCTTCCTTTTAAAAAGTTAGTTTTTCCTTTTCACTGTTGCCACTGTGCTTGCTCAGGATGGGAGACTGCAACGAAGCCAAGATTCAACTTGTCTGCTGGATCCCTTAGATAGAGAACTTTACTAATTGGCTTTTTATGCATGTGAATGTTCCTGTAAAGTGCCCTGAGACAACTTTGTTGTGATTTGGTGCTATATAAATAAACTGAATTGAATTTAGAAATTGGGGATGCTGTTTTTTTTTTCTGATCATAAACCTATTTTAGTTGACACCTCTCTTGCTTTTTTTTTCTTCTTCTTCTTTCGGCTGTTCCCTTTTTTTTAGGGGTCGCCACAGTGAACTAAGTCGCACGGCACCTCTCTTGCTTGTGAGTCTCAGCCAGACGTTGTCATATATTTAACTCTTGCACTGCTACTCTCTTCTCTGCTTTTACCAGTAACTCTGTTACTGACGCTGGACCCTCTGTGTGTTTTACTACACATGAGTTGCTCTCAGTATCAGGAGTCTTGTGTTAAGACCCTGGATCTAGTGGCCCTGTTACAAACCAGACTCACAATTCAGCCTTGGTTAAAGAGACCACTCGAGCAGCCATTCAGTGCAAAAAAGCTGAGCGCAAACGGAAAAAAGACAATTTACAGATTTCTTTGAAAATATGTTGAAAATTTTATCAGATCAGTTAACTCAATGAATAACAAATATTTCTCCCAAATTATTACCTCAAATTGTTACAATCCTCATGTTCTTTTTAAGACCAATAACTGTGTTTTCATCATGCCTCAGTCTGTAGCATGGAGGCCTCTATGGACATTTGTAATGATTTTATCAGATATTTTGTTGAAAAGGTTGAGTTGACCAGGTCATCAATTACTACACAGCTGACCCCTCCATCTTTGTCCCTTGGTCAGCTGTCTTCAATCAGTTTGAGCCCATTTCTCTCACATTTTTAAAGTACATTTTTGGTTATATGAAACCCTCAGGTTCCCGTGCTGACGCCATCCCTGCAGCATTTTTTTTAAGATCCTGTCCTTACTTTTTAGTAATAGTAGTATTGACAAGTGATGCAATAGTAAATCCATTAATTGAAAAATCTGGACTTGACCCTTTAGTATGTTCTAATTTTAGACCAATCACAAAACTAACAGGAACTCGTAGGTTTGAGCATATTTCACCAGTTTTATCCTCCCTTCACTGGCTCCCTGTGTGTCACAAAATAGAGTTTAAAAGTCTCCTGCTGATCTATAAATGCCTAAATGGCTCTGCACCCTCAATTCTTTCTGACCTACTTCAACATATATTTTCCTTTTCAGGCACTGAGATCATCTGATCAGATGCTGTTGGTTGTTTTGAAAGAAGATTGGGTTTTCAGTCATGGCTCCTAACTTTGGAACAATCTGCCCCCCCACCCCCCACCGCTCCACACACTAGACCGACCACGTCACTTCTTGTTTTTAAATCTCTTTTACAACCTCATCTGTTTCAAAGATTTTTTTTTTAATCCGGTTGTTTTACTATTTTATTCTTCTGTGTTCTCTGTTTATTTTCATCTGATACTTTTAATTTTATTAGTTTGTGCATTTTTTTTTTCATCTCTGCCTTTATCTTTCATTGTTCAGCATTCTGGCAATAACCTGTTTTCATATGTGCTTTAAAAACAATTTTCACTTTGACTTTCTTAGTATTTAATTTTTAGGCTTTTTAGAACAACCGCATGAAATGCAGATGGGGAAAATGTAAATAATAATAATAATAATATGATGTGAAACATGAGTTTTCCACATGTTTCCTGTGTGATTTTGTGACATTTTCATGTTTGAGTCATCCCACTTTTGTTCACGTGACCATGTGGAAAACATGCTGAATAATGTTCCTTTTCTTTTTCTATAAAGTTTAAATACATTAAAAGTTTGTTTTGCCAAATTCTCTCAAAGTATAAACTTGTGTTACCTATACCCAATTCAAAGAAAGTGAGGGTAATGTTCAGTTTTTATTGTCAACGTTTCTCTTTTTTTATCCTAAAATTGATCAGCAAATAAGTTCTTTATGGATTGTTTGCTAACAGTTTTCATAAAGCAATAAGATAATATACATTTAAACATATTCTTATAATTTAGGGTGTTTGTTTTTTAAATAGTGGGTCAGTTTATTCCATCACTGGTGTCATTTTATGCTTTTTAGCAGCAATAAAATGTATCTGTTTTTATGAATAAAGCTAATTTACTTTCAGCCGCTACAACTTGTGAAGTAAATCAAATAAAAGGCTTAACTGGTTAATTTAATATTTACACAAGTAAAGTCCCACATTTATCTAGTTTTTATGTAAACAATCTGCTTCACTCCAGCCAACTTGAGGAGATTAAACTGACCTGACAAACCCAAAGTGTCTACGCTGCATTTAATCACGCACAAACACACACCTTTATTGTTGCATACTATGTTCAGAAACCTGAAGTACAGTGACTTTATTCATATCCAGAAAAAAACAAGCACATCAACAAACACTTCATGCTGAGTTAACCTTTTGTTAGTCAGAACTTCTGATAAATAAGTTTATGGCACATTTACAGAAAACAGAACCAGCTGCTACCTTTTCACCGATGTGATAACATCCAACCTGGAAGCGTTTTACAATTCGTTATCAGGAGTGGTGCCCACACCCACCTCAACCTTGTGACTGTCTGCAGCGTGCACGAGCTGTTCCTGAAAGTTAAAATACGTATTTAAGTCATTGTGTATTTTGAGCTCTTGTTAGGTAACAGATACTGTCATGTTGGAGCTCTACTACATATTAGATAAAATACACAAACAGTTCTCCTCTAGACATGCAAAATGTTGAATTAACAATCATATTCATAACCTAAAATAATAATTAATTCATACTATACATGTAGTTAAATGAATGATTTTGTGAATCTGTCATAAATTTGCTACATTTGTCATTTTAATTGGCTCAGTTGATGATTTTGTCTAAGCGTTGGTCAGCACCATCGCCTCACAACAACAAGGAGTCTTTTTCAACTATTAAATCTGACTGTTCTTTACATGCATGTTTGGGTTTTCTTTGGTTTCCTCAGATACTGCAAAAAATCCTGTTGGAGCAAAAACAGTATGGGACAAATAAAACCATGGTGATACTTTTTAGCACACTTGTCATAAGAATGTTGTGTCTTGCGTGCCTCTCTGTTGAACCTGTGGTAGACTGGTGACCTGTCCATATCCTGAGATCTCAGGCTGAACAACTGGTGACACATTACAACACAATATTCCACAAAAACCAAGCTGCAACGCAAAGGTAGCTTGTGAAAAACCAATACAATTTTACAGCTTTCATGGGAATTAGTAGTGTAACCTGTTGCTCTGCATCAAATGTACCTGATTAACTGCTCATCAGCAAGTGAACAGCTTGATAAAAACAGGCTTTTGGTGTTTTTCAGTCCTCAAATTAACTGTGAGTGCAGACTTTACTGTTAGCTTGGTAACTATAGTTCAAAATACTATATTCCCTTTTTTTCTTAGTATGTGTCTCCTTTGTAAATATTACCTGGAGAAAGCTTCTTCTTTTCAAGAAGAAACCAACAGCTCAGCTTAATCCTCCTGCTGCCCTTGGGTCAAAATGACCCACAAGGCCTTAGCAGGAGGGTTAACAACAAACAAAACAAACAAACAAATTAAAGGATTTTTAGAACAAAGTCCATCTGGAAAGATGAGACAAAAGTGGAATATTTACCCACAAAGACCAACACTGTATCCAGTAAAGCAAACGCCACACATCAGCAAAAACACTGTACAGTAAACTGTCAAGCACGGCTGTGGAAGCTTCATGATTTGGGCTTGTGCAGTCACAAGAAACGTATAATTAGTGGTGGCTGGCCAATAAAGGGCGCTAGGGTGCCGCCCCACCACTCACCATATTAAGACATACATACATTAA